GAATCTTTCTAGATACTTCATGTAGATAACCTCTTCAAGTTCACCATGTAAAAATGTTGTTTTCACATCAAACTACCCTAACTCCATGTCATGCCCCACTAGCGTCACTAACAACACCCGAATCGATGTATGTTTGACTACCGAAGAAAATATCTCGTTGTAGTCAACCCCCTCTTTCTGAGCGTAACCCTTCACCATGAGGCGTGTACTGCTTATTCTCCTTTTTCCTCAATACTCATTTTCATCCTATAGCTCGTTTATCCTTCGGCAATGTGACTAGATCCCATGTCTAATTCTTTCAAGGTGACTCCATCTCCTCTATCATGACAATCAACCACTTGTTGCTATCGACCCTTATACGTGCTTGGATCACCGCTCTCCGTAACCAGAGCAAATGCCACATGATTATCTTCGAAATCGTATAACCGGTGTCTTGTGGGTTCTATATCGCCTTTGTGCTAAAAATACTCCTGTTGGGGATGAGTCTTCTCATCACCATCTATGTCTATAACTATTTGTTGGTCCACATTTGCTTCACCGTCCTAAGTTGCGCCTCCTGTGTTTGTGTTTGTACCATTAAGATGCTGTGTTCATGTTTGCACTAAATGCTCCTTCACATCTTCTTCACTGTCCTTTTGTGGTTCCTGCTCATCATCACCTAACATGGACTCCTAATCTAAAGTGACATCTCTGCTTACGAATGTGATCTTGCTTTCCAGATCCCATAACATGAACCTTTGACGCCCTTCTGAAACGCAATGAAGTAGCATCTCTTTGACTTTGCATCCAGTTTGCTCCTCTTGTTCCTATGCACTAAGCGTAGGCAGGACACCCAAACACTCTCAAGGAATCATAATTAACTAGTTCTCCCATCCAAACTTCTTTTGGGATCTGAATATTGATGGTAGTCGATAGTGAACGATTGACCTAATAGCATGCATGATTCACTGCTTCTGCCCAGAAGCACTTCACTAGGCCTGACTGTAATCTCATGCTTCTGACTCTCTCTAGTAGTGCCTGATTCATGCTCTCCGCTACCCCATTCTGTTCTGATTGCCTAGGTACTATCAGCTGATGCTGCATGGCTCATTCAACACAAAATTGCTTGAACTCCTTTGAGGTGTATTCACCCCCATTATTTGTCCTCAAATACTTGCTCTGTTGACCCGGTCAAGCTTGCTGCTGTAGCTATCATTTGCAGGAACTCCCTCTCAATTTTGGCCATTTACAACTTGTTTGAGCTAAGCTTCACTTGGTAACATGATGTTCCACATATGAGAAGCTTTCTTTGTTGCTGACATCTATTGCACCATGCAAAATTCTAATAAACTTGTACCCTGGCTCCTAGTTATGATGCTATTCCGTACCAGCTTGTATGGTCACTTCTTGGATCAAGTATAGAATTTCTCCGATAATTTCACATTGGAGAGGATCTAGCATTCTGTATTTATTAATCCTTAAAGGCTAAGGCTATAAAAACAAACATCTCAATCCTGTAAGCCTTAAAATTTCACATCAACCTCAAGAATCAATGGGGCTTAAAGTTGAAAGCTAGAGAGCTATATTACATTATTACTACATAGATTATGAAAGAAACACTGAACTAATACAGTTTACAATGTTGCACAAAATTCAATCCAATTCATCTACTCAAAACCTAAAAGCCACCAAATATAGAGAATCCACATTTATTCCACAGATAAAAAATATCAAATTATAGAAAGAAAAAGGAAAACAGCAACAACAATGCATAGAAAGAAGCTCAATACCTAGTGATCCTCCTTCAGTTTAATTTGGATGCCTGATGATCCTCTTCAACACAACAGTCCTCGCCCTTCTTATATCCCTTCTGCACCAATCAGCCTGCTTCCTCAAATCCTCAACAGTCCTCATAAACAACTCAAGCTTCTTCTTAATCTTCTCAGTCACAAACTTCACAGGCTCCTCTACTCGAAGCACGAACTCAACATTCTGAAGCAAAGACAGTCTGAACTTTCAGTCGTTCCAAATTCGATATAGTGACATGAGTCCCAGCTTGCATTGAGTTCAATAACTCCTTGGGTGCCTTCAGAGCATTGAAATAGTCATTCCAACGTGTATTGCACCATTTCCCTATTGGACCCATAGCAGCTGCTGCCAATGCTAATAATGCAGTGATGAAGGCTGGTGCCGGAACTGCAGCAGCCACCACAGACGTAATAAGAACCAAAGCAAACACGGACACAAAGATCACAGTCAAAATCCTCCTCCATGCCTTCATCAATCGGAGTTTTTATCGAGCTTTTTCTTCTTCTTTTTTAGCTTCTCCAGCATTGAAACTTGCTGTTTATAAACGGATTGGAACATATTAAGGTATTCTTTGGTAAATGAATTACCCACATCCTTAAAATGCATTAATTCGTCCAATATCTTCACATATTCTCCCCTACTACTTTCTTCATTAGTTCCCTCTTCTTCGAATCTTCTGAGAGCAATGTGAAGGGCAATCTGAGACTCTCGGGCTCCCTTGAAGCACTTTTCTAAGGCAGTGCAAAAGTCTGGAGTCTGAAGGGAGCTACCAAAGTACTCTTCTACTATGTTGAAGAGCTTATCATTCTTCCAAATATCCTTCTTGTATTCTAATATGATCTTGACTATCATCCAAATACCCGTCATGCATGACTGTGCAATGGACAGGTTAAACATAGGATTTTCTATTTAAGTTAGATAGAAATGACACATAGTAATAAAACATTCAGTGGTAGACAAGGGAAACAGAGATAGAAACACACTGTTATAAATAGCGGTAAATAGCCCCGCAATAGCGGCGCTAATAGCGTTAGCGGTCCCTTCTCGCGACGCTATCGCCCGCTATGCTATCGCGCAATAGCGGTGACATATTGCGGAATATATCTGTTCGCAAAAACGGCCAATAATGTGTCATAACGGTAAATAGTAAGTGATTGCATTCGAAATTTGCTTTTTGACTGCTATTTAAAAACGGTTTGAGGCTTATTTTTTTTAAATTAAACTCAACCCTTGACCATTGTATTCTACCGTCTCCTGTGATTTTCAGCATACTCTTGCCACCTCTCATAGCCTCTGACACCTACTTTGATACTTCCTCTCACCTCCTTCACCGTGAGCTCCTCTTAGGGCAGTCATGTCACCGCTAAGCTCTTCTTCTCGAAGACGACGATTTTTTGACTCCTCCAGTCATCTTCGGTATTATGTGATGGTTACATATCTATTTCATGTTTAAGATCTCTTCAAATCATCCAATATGTATTTTTAGATTTCTTATATATTTTTTTATTTATTTATTTTAGTATTTATACATATCTAAATTAGACCGTTATTTGTCTTTGCGCTTTTTACCGTTATTTTGCCGTAATAGCCCGAAATAGCCTTAGTGATACCTCACCGCTACGTAACGTTATCCGCTATCGATAACCTTGGAAACACAATTACCAAGAGGACAGAATAGATAAACGACAGGATAAACTATGTAAGTGAATTGAGATAGGAAGTCAAACAAGCATGTAGAAAGCAAATTATGCTTGACAAGAAAATACATTTCTGTTTGAGGTATTACCACCTTTAGCAAGAGAACCAGCTAAGTAAGCGTGAATTAAATCTAGGAATCAAGCAAGGATGAAGAACACAGACTTGTGTTTGCCAAGAGTCCAAATAATGTTCAAGGCATAACCAACTAGGTCTCATTTTAACCAAACAGATGTCCACAACAATATTTTTAGAAGAATGACAAGTAACAACTTACATATATGTATATAAAGACATTAGAAAGTCTAATTACCCATTCTACTTCTCAAAGTGTGTTGCCAAACTAGAAGGTTCTGATTCCAAGTTTAAAGAAATAAAACGGAGTGCCGATCCCACACCAAACAAATGACTTGCATATTCAACTATAGTCTCTAAGATCCCACACCAAATAAAACGGAGTGCCAATCCAAATACCCATTTTTTAGAATGTTGTAAGACAGAACCAAAAACCTAACCCTCATTGCTGCTTCTGCATTCTAAGATCCCAGCTTCAATGAGGCGTCAGTATGTTGTCTACCAGATGATGTGATCAAATGACCTACGACTACTGCAAGAGAATCTTTTAGTGTGCGGTGTATAAATGCCACCAGAGGGAATCAATTCGAAAATGTACCATGAACATGAACTGTAAGATGGTTACGAGGGGGGTTCAGGGAATTACGCAACTACAGAAGAAAGCAAGAGTGGAATATTCAAGATCTCCCTCCCCTATTTCATCATCTCGTAGTCAGCACAATTTCCCAAATTCACTCATTTCTACTTCAAGGTCAGACCATTAAGAACTTATAATAGAACATATTCTGTTTAGTAATTTCGAACGAAGAAATTTTCTAAATAAACTTATTCACATTTTTTTTAAAATCGACCCCATTAAGTTTTTATTATAAAAATCGACCCACTTTATCACCACGTCAGCATCGTGGCGAGAAAGTGAGTCGGTTTTTTTAATCCCATTCCTAAATAGTTGGGGTTGCCAACCCCGTCTATTTAGGATGTCGTATGGTATTTAGAAGCCAAATTGTTCTTGAATAGTCAGGGTTGCCAACCCTGTCTATTTAGGAGGTCGTCTGGTATTTAGAAGCCAAATTAGTCGGGTTTGAAACCCCGACTAATTTAATCACACGTTTAAATTGGTTGAGGTTGAGAACCCCGACCAATTCGACTATTTTATTTCTCAATGCAATCAGCCCAATGATTATCCCCTCCCATGTTCACAGCCCTCCTACACTTCCAGATTGTGCTGTTGCATTTAAACCCACTCCCAAGCCTAATTTGCCAAACTCTATCCCCCTTCTTCATCCTCCCTTTGGCCTCAACGTAGCTCAGCTCGTACCACCACCACCACGACGACGTGTTCCCAAACCAGTGCAGCGTCATCCTCGACGCCTCCACCTGCTCCTTCGTTAGTTTCGGGTTCTTAGACAACTCCTCGATCACCGCCCTCCCTCCTGGCGTGTATGCAGAAGTGCTCAAAGGCCTTTCACGCGACCAGAGCCTGATCGCTTGTTTGAGAGGAGAATCGCGGCGCCACCCATCCAGAAGAGGCAGTTGGCGAGGAGCATCGACCAGTTGTTCCCGGTGTAGCAGTGCTCCGTTATAATCTCCGTGGTAATGACCAGGGCCATAGAGTTTTTGAACGTGTGGAGCTGCACCGCGGCGAGGTCGATGGATATCAGTCTGGAAGTGTTGAATGGCTTTCGAATTGGTTGGGGTTCCCAACCCCGACAAATTTAAACGCGTGATTAAATTAGTCGGGGTTTCAAACCCCGACTAATTTAGCTTGTAAATTTACAGAGGCGTCCAAAATAATCGGGGTTGTCAATAGTCGGGGTTGGCAACCCCGACTATTTAGCATAGCGTTTAAAAAAAATCGACCCACTTTGTGGTCACGATGCTGACGTGGCCACAAAGTGAGTCGATTTTTGTGAAAAAACAGAAAAGGGTCGATTTTTTAAAAAAATGTGAATGGGTTTATTTAGAAAATTTCTTCTTTCCAACTCACTGCGCAAAGGTTTATATAGAGATCTTTACTGATTTACCAATGACCGAAATTAGCTATGGAACTTAAAAGTCAAAAGATCAATAAAAAATTATTTGCTAACCATGAGAATAGTGGGGGTCAACGCAGCCGTGGTTGTTCGCTTCTGTGATCACGTTCGGAACCGGATCCTCATCTTTACTTCCCCTCAACAAGAGTCCCGTCTCTTCATCGTTCGAGTGCTCGCAGAAATCAACCAGTAAAAACTCCGGCGGCCGAGGACACATCACAACCGGAGTACACAAGCCAAAAAAAAAACCTGCAGATTGAGTCAAAATTCAGAAAAAGGTTGAAGAACGAGATAATTGCAAGAAGTAGGGTTCTGATCTCAACAATAGGGTCTCTGGAATCTCTACAAGGTTCCAAAACCCCTTAAATTTCAACACGAATTAGATTCTCCCAGCGCAGATTTACCAAGAAAGGGGTCCTGACATTCAATTGAACAAAGAAAACGAAAAATCTAAAATATCCGCCGACGAAAAGACCGATCTTTTTTACTGACCTAAGCTTTTTAGAGAGAGAGAGAGAGAGAGAGAGAGAGAACCGCGGGCCGTCGGAGGAGGATAACAAGGCATCGAGAATGGGGAGAGCCTAGGGGTTTATGTAGGCGCCATTTTTTTTTGGGGACTGCAGCTCTTGGTTTAACCGTGGTTAGAGAATTAACCAGCACGCAATTTCGCTAACCGAGTGCTGCCACGTCACCGTCCCAGACTCGAGGCGACGACTTGCTGACGCCTCGTGCTTTTAGGATCCGTTGGGGTTTCCTCCGGGACTCTGATTGAAACGGTTCGAAGACTATACACCATTCTCTCTCCCCAAAAAAAAGTTCCCCTTTTTTATCCTTCTTAATTAATCTTAATTAAGAGGTTTGCTTCAATGCTCTAAAATGGTACTCCCTGTTTTTGTTCCAGCTACAGTAATTCTGTTTTAAATACAATAATAAGTTTTTTAAATTTTACAGTAATAAATGATACTGTCACGTCTAGGGCTGTGCAAAAAGCCCGGTGTCCGGGCCCGCTATCCGCTCCGCTCCGGACCCGGGCCCGGCCGCAACGGTCACCAGGGGTGACCGTTGCGGGCAAATACCGGGCCAGGCCAAGTCGGCCCGGCCCGGCCCGGCACCAACGGTCACCTGAGGTGACCGTTGGGCAATAATAATCGGACCGTTTTGACCCTAAAAACAGTCAAAACGGCTATTTTATGAGGGTTTTTTGGTCACTTGCCTAGAAGGCTGCCTTTATAAATAGAGGGGAGTTTTCACTTCTTCTCCTCACACCAAAACTCATCTACTTCTCTCTCTTATGCAATCTTGTACTCTCTTATACTTTCTAATCCTTCCATCAAATGACTTCTGGATCTGATTATGAAGAGCAAAACCTATCTCGTACCGATCTTGAAATAAGTCCTACAACAATTACTCCTCCTACCAGTGTTAATCCTGAATCTGGTGGCGACGAATTTGCACCAAGAGCTCCTAAAAGGCCGAGATCCGATTTGTGGAATTTTTTTGAGAAGATAGAAGTCGTCAAGGATGAACACGGTAGGATCATCACCCAGAAGGCTAAATGTGCATTGTGCGGCCAAACTTTCTAAGCTCATCATAAGAGCGACACCAAACACCTCAAACGCCATATAGAAAAACACAACAAAGGCCAGAATCCTCAAGGTGATATCCGACAATCTAGATTTCCCAATCCTCCTCTTCTAGTAGTCTCAGCAGTTGGAATTATGACGCTGCCCGAGCCAGAAAATACGTAATCAGGTTTATCGTTCTTAAAAACGTTCCTTTTAAATTAGTAGAAGATGATGAATTTGAAGATATGTTTAGAGATGATTTTTATCCCACATTTACAAAATTTTCTCGTCAAACCTGTCAACGTGATATTTTAAAATATTATCAGGAGGAACAAGGAAAAATAATTTCTTATTTTAAAAATTTAAACTATAAATTTTCTTTAACTTCTAATATTTGGACATCTAGAGTACAAACTAGTTATTTATGTATCACAACACACTGGATTGATGAAAATTAGAAAATGTTTAAAAGAGTTGTTTCTTTTATTACAATTGAAGAGTCACATACTACTGGTATTAATATTACACATTTAATAATTGAACAACTTATGAAACTAGAAATTGATCAAAGAATATTTTCTCTTTCACTAGATAATACAAGTAATAACAATATAGCTGTTGATTTTATCAAAACTACTCTGTCATTGTCATGTCATGGTGATCTTTTTCATATTAGATGTATCTGTCATATTTTAAATTTAATTATTCAAAGTGTATTTACTGAAATTAAACCCATGATAGAAAATGTTAGAACAGTTGCTGTAGGCATGTAAAATTGCTTATAAGTCCCTTGGCATAGCTCGGCGCGATGATTCGACAAACCATCGAGCGACGAGGCGACGAGGTCAACGAATCGCACGCGAGCAACGGAATGCATCCATTCGCGTGCGGAATCAAGCCAACGGTTCGGGGAGTCAACGAGTCATCCAAACAAGAGCGGACTCGGATGAATCACGACCGAATCAAGGTCGGTTTCAGACTCGAACTCAGAAGTGGATTTACTGTCAAATCAGGAATCCGACTTACTGCCAAATCAGGTCAACGAATCAGAGTCTGAATCAACCAAATCACGGACAGAACCGAAAGACGAAAATACGATGGAACCCAACACCAAGGGGGGGCTCGGCCTGAGCCGAGCCACCTCAGGGTGGCTCGGCCAAAGCCGAGCCACCCTGAGGTGGCCGGCCAGATCTGTGCCCGGGCACAGTAAAGGGAGCCTATAAATAGGCCCCCCTTGTTTCATTTCAAAAGGTTGGATTTTTTGGAGGCGAAGCCCTGCTTCAGATCTGATTCTCGGCGAACGTCCACGTCAAAAAAAGGCAGGAATTCGAGAGAGGTAAAAATCGGATCTGAGATCTACACGAGGCAACACTCCGGATCAAAGCTTGGCCTTTGATCCCGAGAACTAAAGGCTACTATTTCCTTAGTGAATTAGTACACTACGGCTATTATTTCCTTTGCGAAATAATACCCGTCGAATCGTGTAGATCTGAACGGATCTAGATCGCGCGGTGGTCCACGGATTAACCCCGACGTCGGCAAAGAACCCACACAAGCAAGAGACCGCAAAACAGGATCTTGCGATTTGTTCTAAAGGAAAGTTGTAAAAGGAAAGTTTCTTTGATTTCGTTGTAACCGGATCTAAAAAAGACCGGATCTTTTGTAATCAAAAAAATCAATTACTTGAGATAACGATGAATTCAATGAAGGCAATTTTCACCGCGAACAATCTGGCGACCACAGTGGGAGCCAACGATCTCGCGGCCGAGATCGTCACGTCGCAACCGCGGATCTCAATCCCGATCGAGGAGGAGGTCGAGTATGAATTCGACCAGGCCAAGTTCGAGGAGTACCTTTCATCCTCGTCTGGATCTACCTCCCCCCGCAAGTCTAAGAAGCTCTCCTCCAGGAGAAAAGCTCGTTGGTTCGAAGAAGTTCAGAATGCCAACGACGCTCTCACCCCGGCTGACGCCAAAGTGAGGTCAAACCTGTTCTCGTCAACGCTTCTACTGTTGAAGGCGTTGTGACTCTCTCGAAGAGAGCCCGCCAGAGGCGACGTCAACGCCTTGCGCGGCAATTCGCCAAAGCGATGGAGTCCATGGACGGGGTCCGCTACAACGCGGATCTAAAGAACAGGAGAGGCAAACAGCCTCAACAATTGAAGGATGGCAGTTTCTCAAAGCCGCCAACGAACGAATGGATCCGGGTCAAACGGAACCGTTCGACACTCGAGGAGCGGATTCAAAGCCGCCAACGAACGAATGGATCCGGGTCAAACGGAACCGTTCGACACTCGAGGAGCGGATTCACAAATGCCGTGCATTACTTGCACAAGCAAGAATCCTCGTGTAGAAGGCCGAGGAATTGAAGAAAGGAAGAGTGGCCAAGAAGCCGCCATCAACCCGCCAAGTGTGGAGGCCGAAGCAGCCTCCAACCAAAGTTCAACCTCCGGTGAATCAACCAAAGTCGCCGGTAATCCCAATAGCTTCTCCGGGAGATAATGCAGAATCATCCCAAATGAAGAAGCCAGTCTTGGAGCGCCTCGGTCCGATTCCCGACGAGAGAGGCAAAGCTCCTGTTCAAGATCGTTTGGGCCCGATGAAGAAGCCCCGGACGACGCAACATGCTGGGGGTCGCCGTCACCTCCAACATGACAAAGAGACCAGGGCAGTCATGCGCACCAACTTGCGCATTGAAGTCCAGGAGCCCGCCGAGAACTCACGCTTTGAAAGCCCAAAGAAGGCGATCCAACCTCAGATGGAAACATTATCATCTGATAGTGATAGTGTTATACCTGAGAAGTCGTGCCCGCACACGATAGGTTACTCCGATCGTCAAGCAGACGAGTTGTACTATCGTGCTGGGGGTACGAATAAAACCAGGAAAAGGAGTCCCCAAAAACAGGAAACTCAGTGCCCCTGTTCCAAACTCATTCGGGCAGTATTGTCTGAATACAGCTGCATCAAGGCGGTCCCCGAACGAGTTTCGGTTTTCAAAAGGCTCAGTACCGAAACGCCGAAGACAAGGCCTAGGCGTTTCTGACGAAGAAGAACGGTGGTTGAAGAGGGAGAATTTCCGAGGGTCACCACCAATATGACCAGCAGAGGGACATCGGCGCGAGATAATCTCGAGTCAATTCTGAAAGCATCCCGGCCTAGGACCCGTTTGCAGTCCGGAACCATCAAGCGAGCAACCTATGGTAGGGTTCGGACAAGACTCCCTTCAAAAGATGAAGAATCTGATGCTGGCTCCAAGGCTCCCTTCAGAAGATGAAGAATCTGATGCCGGCTCCGCGGTCGCATCAGATAATACAGTATCCAGCGAGGGACAACCCCGCGAGGCACTTATGATAAGTGCGAAGCAAGTGGTCAAAATGCTTGAAGACGCCTTAGCTAAACAACAGGAAACCTTCAGGTTCGAAATGCAGATGGCCATGCAAAACATGAGAGAAATGCATGACCAACAAATCCAAGCATTGACGAACCAGCAAGGAGAGCCAAGTCGTCGTAACCCGGTTAATCTGGAAGATGAAGACACTAATGAGACGCATAATAATCCTCCCGTCAATGCAGGGGGTGGTAACGAGAATGTCAACGCAGACTCAAGTGAAAACTTGAAAATTAAAAATCTCGAGAGCAAAATCAACACGTTGATTTCCGCTCAAGAAACGAAGAAAACAGGCATTCCTTGTCCATACCCAAGAGAGTGGGAATCAATTCCATATCCGGCGAAGTTCAACCTAATTAACTTCACGTCGTTTAATGGGATGGGTTCCCCCACTCAACATTTGATTTACTTCAAATCACACTTGGGAGTAATCTCCGGCAATGAGCCTCTGATGGTGCGATCATTCGTCGGCACTCTTCACGGAGCCACCTTCGATTGGTATCGCCGCCTCAAGCCAGGTAGCGTGAATAGATGGGATGACATGGAGACCAAATTCCTCGCCAACTTCTTCGACGACGACACAGAGATATCCATTGGGTCGTTGCTTGATGAGAAACAGAAAGACGGGGAATTAGTGGACACCTTCGTCAAGAGGTTCCGAAACAAGGCGATGAACTGTCAGGACCCGATCACCGAGGAATTCATCCTCCAAACTTGCCACAACAACCTCGCACTGGACGTGCTGGAAGCAATGGGGACAACACCGTCCAAGACATGGAAGGATCTGAAGGT